GATTTGCTGCTTTCGTAAAGATTCTTTGGAAACAAAGTTGCTGTAACAGTAGTTAGCTTTTTTCTTTTTCTAAATCCTACAAAATGGTAATTATCTGTTCCTTGCAACTTTAAAATAATTAATCACTAATACACAGCCAGAGCTCTCTGGGGTAGATTCTGATTAACGTCTCATTTTCTTTCCTATTTACTTGTTTGCTTGCTTATTTATTTAGGCAGGTTCTCATTATGTACTCCAGGCTAGTCTCAAACTCCCAGAGACCCACCTGCGCCTGCTTCCCAAGAGCTGGGGTTAAAGGCGTGCACCACCATGCCTGGCCCAGGTAAAGCCCTCTCTGACCCCCTAGATCTGTCAAGGACCAATAGCAGATGCCATAGTCTCCCACCAGGGCGTTGTTGTTGGTTCCCACTTAAGATACAAATGGATTTTTATGCCTTTTTATGTTTTATTTAATTCAATACTATCTTATTTCTTTGGTGATGTATTATTATAATTGGATCTTTGCATCATATTTTTTATTAATTAAAAACTTTGCTTTTATTAGCCTTTACTCTGAATTCTGAATTTCTACTAAGATTTCATTTGGTATCTTCATTTGGGGTGCATTTTCTGTTTTCCCATCGTTTCCCCCTGTTAAAACTTTATTTTCTATTTCATTCAAAATTTCGAGCTTAAAGAGGCAGCCATGTCTTAAAAGGCTTCTCAGGAGGAAGGGCGATGCTCAGCTTGCCCCGCCATTTTCTAGCCGCAGGACAATTACAACGTTCTTAGGTTAGTAAGGGTGTGGGGGTTGAGTTTGAGGCCCGGGGGTATGTTGGGATGTGTTGTGCGTAGTTGAATTCCTAAGGTTGATTTTTGTCTCCTTAAACACAGAAGACGCCCTCACTGGGTATAGACAGAGTGCGTGCGTGCGTGCGTGCGTGCGTGCGTGCGTGCGTGCGTGCGTATGTGAAAACATAAACGGTGGGGGTGGCTACTGCCCAATGCTTAGGCTGAATCTCTGAGAATGTCTGCTTCTTCCTAGTGAAGAGAAGTGTTGCTGGTGCTGCCTTTAGACCACAGCAACTTCCCTCCTCACAGCCTGCCTGCATCTCTGACTTCCTGGTGTCTCTCCTCTCTCTCTCTCTCTCTCTCTCTCTCTCTCTCTCTCTCTCCCTGTAATACATGTGGGTACACCTCAGGTATCAGTCCTTGAAAGCCGTCCATCTTGTTTTTTGAAACAGGGTTTCTCACCCCTTACTCAGAACTCACCCGTTGGGCTCTGCTGCCTGGGCCACAGAACCCCAGGGCTTACAGCCGCTCTACCTGTGCCTTCTGGGGACCAAACTGTGGTCTTGACTCTTGCAAAGCAAGCCTCGCTGGTTGAGTCACCGCCCAACCCCTGACTTTCTTTCCTTTCACAGGGAACTCAGGTCGTTCCTCTTAGCCGGCACAAGTCTTCATTCAGTGTTTGTGACGGGGACATTTCTAGGCGCTGATCTGCACCGCCATGAGCAAACTCAGTCCCCAGTCTCTCAACTTTGAGAGACATGCCAAGCTTGCCTTTGTGGCAGCTTGATTATTATTCTGACAAATTAATTGCTTGTTGAAGTGAACAAATTAGTTTCCGTTGTCTGCATTGCCAAGAAGCATTCACCAGATATAAAAAGGAAAGAAAAAGGAAAGAAAGAAAGAAAAGAGAGGAGAAACTTTAAAGGGCATAATATATATATATATATATATAGTCAGACATGCTGGTCCACAACTTTAGTCCCAGTGGAATTAATCCAGGAGGGAGGCACAGGCAGGCAAGATCTCTGTGAGCATCAGGCTAGCATGGTCTGCTGGGTCAGCCAGGTAACAAAAAATTACAAAATTTAGAAAATAAATAATAAAATGAAAGCATGATCACAGAAACGTTTGCCCACATTGGTCTAAGTTACAGTCTGTCTGCTCACAGGAATTCTTATGACTGATTTTACTAAGAACTGATTTACCGGGAAGAGGGAAATTCACCTTCAGAGGCAACACCTCCCTGTTGATGCCATAAAATATTGCCATAGCAAGTGTCCAGGACAGCAAGCCGGCCACATTCCCACAGACTTTTTTGGCACTTTCAAACGTGTAATCATCCATGTTAAAATAGGGCTGCAGCAGCTCAACTGTCTCTTCGTTGATGGTGTCCTTGGGGAACTGCTGCAGGCTCCACAGGAATCCTGTCGCGCTCATCAGCTGCAAGACAGTACGGCAATCTCTCAGGTCTGGGGGAAAAGAAATCCTGCCTTCCTGCATTGGTATGGAGCAATCATCTATGGTTGTTTGAATGAAAATGGTCCCTACAGGCTTACATATTTGAGTACTCCACCCCTGGTCGATGGAACTGTTTGAAAGGGATTAGGAGGTGTGGCCTTGTCAGAAGAGGTGTGCCACTAGGGACAGGCTTTGAAAATTTAGAAGCCCACATCATTCTCAATTGGTCTCTGCCTCGTGGTTGTATCTCAAGATGTGACCTCTCAGCTACTGCTCCAGCGCCAAGCCTGCCTGCTGCCATGCTCCCCACTATGACGATCTGAAACCATAAGCTCCAAATAAACCCTTTCTTCTGTAAGCTGCCATGATCCTGGTATCCTATCACAGCAATAGAAAAGTAACTAAGTCATCAACTGATTTCTTTTTCAAAGAGGTAGGCATCAACTGCCTCTAACACACCAACTCCGCTGGTAACTGCCAGCCTAAACCTGACAATTTCCTCTGCCGTGTGCTTCAACCACCAAGTGGCTACTGCCTTGCCACAGGCCCAAAGTGCCAAGGCCATTCAGTCATGGCCTGAAAACAAAACAGTGAGAAAAAATAAACCTTCCCATTTTATAAATTTATTCTCACGGGTACTTAATGATGGTGACGGAATAAGGTGAGGTCGAAGCTAAACTCTTGAATACATAGCAGGTGGCTGTAACCTGCCAGCTACAAGCTGATTTTCCCGGGACATCTGATGCACCTCACAAGACTTACCAAAGTGTTCCTTACCTTTAAAGACTCTCCCCATGAGGGCTTGCAGCAAGGCTTCTCCGGGTCCATAGTAACGGGGTCGATCTTCTTCTGGAACAGCAGCAGCACACAGTCCATGATCCTCATAATCAGATGAGGCGGTTTGGCCAGCTTCCTGACCGTGGCAATGTCGTTTGGCTTGATGGTCTGTGGTTGGGAACAGGGATCAATATCATTTCTTTCTCCTGAGTGGTACTAACAAGCTTATGTATGGAAACCTAATACTTCTAAATGGTTAAAGCAGAAAACAATCAAGAACACATTTCTTTATCTGCCGATTCCTAACATTATCTCCTCAAGGGATCAAACTCTAAGGTTTCCGGATAATGGCTCCTTCATGGCTGGGCTCCGATTTCTGTTTATTGGCCTTTACTCCTGCTCTGTTGCCCCTTCAATTGACTGACATAAAGGGTCACTATCACTCGTGGCCCCCTGGCCAGACCTCTGCTAAAGTAACAAGTATGTAACAGCAAGACAGCTTGCATCCTAACCCCGGGGACGCAAAGACAGGAGGCTCTCAGGGGCTTGCTGGCCAGCTAATCTCACTGGATCAGCCCCAGGTTCAGTGAGAGACCCTGCCTCAAAAAATAAGGCTGGGAGCGGCAGAGTTAGACATCTGATGTCAAATTCTGCTCTTCATACATACGTGCATGCAGATATGCATATACCTGCGCACATATGCATGCACACACTAATATGTACATATGCATACAACACACACAAAAATGGAGAAAAATGTTTTTAAAGAGAAAGGAGACAAAGTCCTGAATATCAGAAATCTTACTTTCAGTTTTCATTTTTAGGGCTGTCCTGTCTCTGGAAGGGGGAGAAACTCCATGGAAACCAGAAAAATTATTCCAGCAAATGGCTTATGAAAATATCTTAGGAGCTGTGAGCTGGATTTAGATGAAGTCATTGCCTGGCGTGATGGTTTGAATGAAAATGGACCCATAGGCTCATGTGCATGAATACTGGGTCCCCAGTTGGTTTGAACAGTTTGGGAAGGATTCAGAGGTGTAGTCTCATTGAAGGAGGTGTGTTTGAGAGGGGCAAGCTTTGAGGTTTCAAAAGACTCAGGGCATCCCCGATGTGCTCTCTGCCTCCTGTTTGTGGGCAGCGGTGTGAGGGCCCAGCTGCTGCTACAGTTGCCTGCCACAAGACTTGGCTGCACCATCATGAACACTGGCCCTCTGGGACTGCAAACCCAATTAAACTCTTTCTTTGATAAGTTTTGTCTCCTCAGAGCAACAGAAAATAAACTCAGACACCTGACATCCAAGATAAGGAAGACGAAGAGAGCCGGATCAATCAGCATCTTAAGATTCACCCAGCTTAGTGGTTTCTCTTTCATATGTCATTACATGACCCATGGAGGGAGTGCAGGCTATGACCTGGACATGGAACTAAGTGAGTACTATGTATTCATCATTTGACAGCTGCAGGAATCCTTCTATACAAAGCAACACGGGCAAACAAAAGCAGCCCAAAGAAGGCAGAGAAAAGACAACGGCTTTAAATCAGGATCCCTGTCATGAAGGCTAGGGCGATGGCAAAACAAGAGCTCAGGAGGACCGGAAACCTGGAGGAGTGAGGAGTGGGCCCAGCTATGAAGAATGGCTGTGACTGGGCAGTCAAGGCTAGGGAAAGCAGTCCTGGCAGGCTGAGGGGTCTAAGACATCTAGGTCCATCTAAAGGTAAGAGGTCATGATTATTCTAGAACTCTACAGGTGCTTCTGTGTGGGTGGGTCATACTGTATGTAGAGACAGAATAACTAGGGCAAAGTTCAAAACTTAGGAGCCAGGTTGTTAGCAGCAGCAGAAGCAGGTATACAGATAGATAGATAGATAGATAGATAGATAGATAGATAGATAGATGGATGGATTGATTGATAAGTGATATATGATTGATAGATGAGACAGATGATTAACAGATGATAAGTTGAATAAATAGGTATAAATAAAAGATACTAGATAAATAATAGACAGAACACTATCAATGTGCCCAACAAATTTGATATTCCTAATGCCTACATGAAACTTTAAGAATCCACGAGGGATTATAACATCTATGGAGACCTATAAAATTAAGTACATTGACTCCAGATAATGTGAATAAGATTGGTGGTCATGAGACAGAAAGGCCAACCTCCTGCCTCCAGAGCCACGCCCTGTTATATGTACTGTGATATACACATACCGTTTAAGCTGCTTGGTAGGCTGAGGCAGGAGCATGGCCTCAGGACTACTCCTTCTTTTGAAATAAGAAAAAGGAGAAGTGAGAGGGGAGAAAAGGAAGAAAGGTAGGAAAAGAGGGGAAAAGGGAAGTAGAGGGAAAAGGAAGAAGGGAGGGAGGGAAAATGAGGAAGGAAGGAAGGAAGGAAGGAAGGAAGGAAGGAAGGAAGGAAGG